GGGGGGGGGGGGGGGGGGGGGGGGGGGGGGGGGGGGTTAACAGAGGGGACACGAATGAGAACACCCCCCCCTGCAACCCCCTAGCCCCCCTCCAGCCCCCCCGAGACGATTCCGTTAGGCCCCCCATCCAGACCCCAGATGGTGGCCACATCCATACCCATCCAGAGTGTATCTTACTATCACCTATTCCTTCCCCTAATTGAATTGAGTTGAATTTTGCTGTTTCTCCACTATCTTCACCCTTCGTGCTGGCAGAGTGGGGAGTGGGCCAGCTTCCCCTTGCACTGAAGGCCTGCACCAGGCAGATGCCATTTGGTCCAAGTTGTGGACTAGCCTGTTTTCTGCACTTAGCTCAAAATGTTTCACACAAAACCTGACTTCGTGAGTCTGTGTCTGCTGCTCGTACCTAGAGTAATCGCTTGTTCACTTTCACCTCACCACCATCTGTAACAGCCTCACAGGCAACTCCTCTATCGGGACAATATCTCTCTGCGACGGTGATGGCCATGCTAGAGGCAAGGAGTAGTGGCGATGGTAGATTACTCATGGGAAAGTTGCTGACGTCATCGAGCTCATGCTTCCATTGCCCTCCACTAGTATACCGTTCCGAACATTCGTACTCCCTTTGATTCTTTCTCACCCTGGAGGACACACGATGTGGCGGTTCAGGATGTAGAAACAACACTATTGACATCAACAACTTGTTCACGCGTAGAGCTTATACGATAGTCTCACTCTCGCCTGACTTCGTATTCCCTCCGTCGCACACCGCAATGCCCCGTTCTCAGCGTCTAATCTCGCACTACTAAAACGGTTACCCCGCTTGCTTGCTCGCTCACGTCTCACCTGGATGGAGATGGAACGTGCAATGGCAGACGATGCAGATCACGCGAAGGGGCTGCTGACGTCAACAGAAGTCTGGCAGCCCTGCACAAGTCTGACTTCAGATACTTGTGTCTGCTGCTAGTCCTGTCCATCACGTCCTCTCCCACCGCCTGACCTCAACCTTCCCTCCTGCTGTCCGTAACTGCCTCGTGGTCTCAGACCCTCCATCGCCATGAGCTGGTCTCAGGGCCGTCCTCCACAGGTGATGCTGGTGGGTGGTCCCTCTGCCACTGATCCAGTCCATGCCAGGACTGGGTCGCCACGTCACTTTCCTCACTCTCTACCTCCGAGTTGTGGTCCAGTCGTTGCTGTTCTCGTTCAGTAGTCCCGGTGGACGTTTCCTCCTCATGGTACATGACGGTAACTTGCAGCGCTGCGGTCACACCGTCCCGTTTACACCTCCTCTCAGCCCTGTTACGGGCCTCGATAATGGCTCCTTGCAAATCTTTGTCCCTCCTCATTTCTTGCTCTTTTTCCCTGTAGACATTAATTTTTCTTTCTCTTTTCCCTCGTAGACATTAATTTTTAGTTTCGCCACTCTATCAGCCTCTAGAAAGTCAATATGGCATCCACTATAGCTCCCTCCTGACTTTTAGGCTCCCAGCTCCAAAGGTATTTTAAGTGCATGGGCCTATAGTCATGGAGACCCTTGCTGTATGCCATAGCCACTCCTAGAATAGCTCATGCTTAGCGGTGCTTAGTTGCCCGTACCACACACACACAAGCTATCG